GAGTTCCGATGTGAAGTTCTTCAGCCGTTCTTCTTGGTCCGATCTTAGCGTTGAAATCACCGACGATGACCTTGAAGAAGGTATGATCTTCCTTGTAGAACTTCTCCAATTCCATATAGAACGCTTCGAGCTCATCCTCGTCGTAGCTTGATGTTGGTGCGTAGGCGACGAAGATTGTCAAAGCTGGAGTTGAACCACATCTTCTCAATCGCAAACGTCCGATTCGGGTCGTCAGATTTTCGTACGAATCGATGTTCATGGCCAAGTGCGTGTTGACGAGGACGCCCACACCGCCAACGCCTCTGCTGTCGCATGTTCCGAGGAACAGTTCTTCTCCAGTCTCGTATACGGCGTGTAGCGGGCGATGCCTCCTCGTCAGTCCGATGACGTCGTACTTGATCTTCCTGGCTTGCAACATCAGATCTTCGATGTGAGCTTCCGATGCAAGCGTCCGTGCGTTGAAAGTACAGATCGTCATCCTAGTCCTGGGCGACTTAAATCTCCGTTGGCCCTGTGATTCTTGCAGCCTCGCCCGAGCGGTCCCAGCCGACGTCGCCCTGTCGGTGGTTCCCTCAGGTTCAGGGGAATGAGGCCCATAATTATTACTGTTTTCGGCGAGAAGAAATTTAACCACGCGTAGCTCGCCAGGCTCTGACGTGGCACCCTCCGCATTGGTACGGTTTGGAACAGTCCAAACCGTTCACCCCACGCCACGTTGAGGCTGCGGATAGGACATGTGGAGAACTCAAATAGTAATCCTGCTAAAATGCTTCCTGGCCGTTTTCCATCTCGCAATCCTTTATACCACCCCTTTTTGAAGGTCTGTACGAACCTCTCAGCTTCGCCGTTTGAATTCGGGTGATATGGCGAGACTGAGTCGATTTCTTCATTTACAAAACTCCTTGAACGTCGTCGAAAAAACGGTGGACCATTATCGGACACAATTTGCTCCGGCAGCCCATGACTTGCAAAAATCATCCTTAACTTTTCTATCGTTTTCTCGGCTGTAGTTATGCCCATGCGGACCACTTCTGGCCACTTAGACTTGGCATCCTACCAGGATAAGCCATTTTTCTCCACCCTGCGTTTGGCAGAAATCTATATGTAGCCTTTGCCACGGATTTGCGGGTTCTTCCCACAAGTGCAAGTGGCATCTTTGCGGATCATTACCAAACACAGCACAGGTTTCGCACAACCTGGCCACCTGAACTATATCTCTATCTATTCCCGGATACCATACTTTTCTACGTGCTAAACTTATCATTCGGTTCCTCCCATAATGGCATTTACAGGGGTGGCCAAAAAAAGTCACTTCGACCAAGTCACATATCAGCAAAGTTTTCGCAGCCCAGACAGAGGACGTGGATACGAGTACCAGGGGAAGATACCCAAGATGTTCCTCTATAAGCAGGAGCTGGCTCTCGCCCATCATGTACACCAAAATATGAAGTCATCTCCAGTCGCAACTGATGACTGACGGCAAGATTCGGGAGTAATGTCACTCAAGATGCTGTCCAAACGCAGTGATGGAAGTACCCATGGATGCTACCTGGGAGGACCATTTACTCTCAATCTTGGATGACCCAAAACGAGCAGCTTCGTAACTTACGTACGCGTCATGGAAATCATCTTCCCGTAGTGCGCGTAGTGCGCGAGTCGATGGCTATTTGCCGGGCCGGTCCCTGGAAATGGGAGACCGAATTATTTGTTTGTTAGACCCCGGACTGAGGGAGAGCTGGCGCTAATCAAGTAACTCCTGAGAAAAATATTCCTTCCCTGGCATGTGTCGCTGTACCTTCTTGTGAGACCTGTTGATGCTACAGGTGTGCGGTGACACCATGAATCGAAGAGTTCTTGAAAAATACTCCGCCGTTTTCGGGTATGGAAGGGCGTCTTCTGACGAGAGATTTATTATTGAAGTATGTCCCTGGAGCTTGGAACCACCCAGATTACATGTTTCGAGGGGGTTCAAGTAGGAGTGGTCTAAAGTGTGGCGTAGAGAAATGACTACCCGCGTGATTCAGGGTACAACATCGCAGTTCGCGTGAACAGAACTCTCGATGGCGTTTAGGTGTGGGACGGGGTGTTATGTTATAGTACTAATATGCTCTCACATATGGTAGTTAAAAGTGTTCGATCGGATTTGGTGTAACTTATAGCGCTCGAAAGCTTCCGAATTCTAATTCAAAGCAAGAAGTACTTTTTTTAGCCCCCGGTAATGTAGGCATTGCATACTTAGACGGTCTGTGACTCTGGTTTCCCACAGAGAACACCTATCATATAATGAGTTCGGGGTCAATAATTACAAAGGTTTTTAGCGTCTCTTTCACCTTGGGGTGCCAACCCACTGCAAGACCTGAGCAAGCGCTGGGTCTTCTGCTGCCGCTTTTGCTACTTCTTAGTCCGATAAGGGAGGTTTTCAAAAACTTCTTGATCTAGAGCTCTCACCTGGAGCTCGCTGATAACTGTTTCGGCACTCGGTAATTCGCGAGGGTCAGGTAACCGTGAAAGACCGTCCACGTTCCCAAATTCCGCCGTCTTCCGATACTCTATATCAAATTATTAAACCATCAGTCGCAATCCCCATCGATGCAGTCTAACGGCTGGTGATCCGTGAACAACGTAAGCCTTCTACCATATAGCATTTGTTAAACTTTTCGACACCGTAAACTATGGCAACGCCTCTTTCTCTATGTGTGCATAGTCTTTCTTCTCTAACTGAGGAACGAGAGGCATAAGCAATTACTTTTTCGTTGCCATCCTTATACTTATGGTAGATAACTGCTCCTAGTCCATAATCTGACGCGTCCGTAGCTAATACCACTGGCACATCGGGGTTATAATGTGCCAGCACATCTATTTCAGTTAATCTTTTCTTTATTTTCTCAAACGCCTTCTGAAGCTCTTCGTTCCAACGCCACTCCACTCCTTTTTTCCTTAAAGCATTTAGCGGAGCTGCTAGCATTGACAAATTACGTATAAATTTACCATAGTACTGTACCATACCAAGGAATGATCAACTCTTTGATATTCTTGGTGCCAGGCATCCTCTGCATTGCCTCTATTTTGTGCGGCGATGGTCTTATACCTTGGGCATCCACTATATGGCCCAAAAATTCCATCTGTGCCTTTAAAAACTCGCATTTAGTTTGCATCAAACGAAATCCAGCTGACCTTAATCTTTGTAGGACCTTCTCCAGTCTTTCGAGGTGGGTTTTGGCGTCCGGCTCGGTGACCGTTATCCTTTCATTCTATAAACCACTAACCTTGTGTGTCGGTTTGTACGTATGTAGGTATGTAGGTTTGTGTGTATGTATGTATGTATGTATGTATGTATGTCCGTCCGCAGATGCTTCACCGGTTTGAGTTAGTGA